GGCAATGCTGTAAAACTGATGCAAGCCATGGGTTGGTGCACATCATCTAGAGTTTCTCTAAACTTGTATGACACCCTTATATCAAGTGATCTTGGAGAAAATATAAAATCATTGCTGATAGGATTTGCAAACAATGCTTAACGTGACAAATAATGACTAAGCTGATTGGCTTGATGGTGAAATCCACGCTTTAGAGATTTTTTTTTAAATTTTGTAGGAATAGGGATAATTTTAAAACTCTGTAACACATAAAATCTATATTAACAACAGTACCCCTGAGAAGAATTTAGAGATGGAAAGCAAATATTTTGTATCTAGAACGTTATGGTGCTTAAGACAGCAGATGTGATCCCTGGATGTATACACAGGAAAGGCATTATGTCCTTCATAGTATCTGGGGTCATTTCCACAACACCTACAAGGTTTCATACATTCTTCTATACTCAGATTTGAAATGAGATACTGTCAGATTGGAGACTGTTCAGTAATGGGTTACAGGAATGAAAGGAAATCTGTGCTACACAACTGAAGACTAAAACCACTGTACTCACACTCTGTAAGCACAGACAAGAGGAAGATTTTGATGCTAAAGTACTACTGTCTAGTATGCCAGAAGCAAAGGGTGAGAAGGGAAATTTATTGAATTTTCTCAATGACATAAACATGATTTTAATGAAATGAAAGTTTTAAAACATGTAGTGATTCTATCAGAACAAAAAAAATATGTCAGATGTATAGTCTGTAAAATTGAATGCTTAGTAACTTTTCATGAATTATGTATTTCTTACTAAAGGATTATCAAACCTGCACAGACTTCCACTTCAGCATTTCCTCCAATGTGGTCATGAATTATGTCACGTGGTTTACTTAATTTTTTTATTTATTTATTTTTCCTCCTGATGAATTCTTAAAGTATTAGTACTTAGAAATACATAGTGCATAGAAGGAAATGAATGACAAAAAAAAAAAAAAGCCCCAAATTATTTAGCTTGTAGTACAGTCAAATTTTATTGGATTTATTTGTCCAGAGATTCTAAAGGTAATCTTAAACTCATATGCCAAATTTCCTGTAGCTGGTGATAAATCTCCCACAGGAATGAGTTTCAAACTGCTTGCCAGCATCTGTAGCAAAGTATTTCTTTTTGAAACATAGGTACGGCCACAGTCTGTTACTTCATTTTAAAAAGAGGATGCGGGAGCAAGAGAAAGCAGAGTATTTGATCGGCACTCTGAAATTTATAACTGCTTGTGAAAGTATTTCGCACATGTAACAGTGACCCCATACTCTATCACAGTTCAGGTCAAAGCCTGAACAGTCCCACAGGAGCAACAACAGGCTTTTGATTTGAGAGGAAATCCTTATTTTAGTTGAGGAGAAAGAGAAATATTGTGATGTGATCCAACTTTGACTAAGATCTGAATGTTAAGAGGTTTTAATACTGGTAATGGCCAAGTACCTTCAGTTATCTTACAGTGCACACCACAGCATTAAACATGAGTATGCAAAGATCTGGCAAAAGCTCCCTAAAGCTATTAATACCTATTTCCCTACTCTAAAGCACATTCCAGCCCACTGATTCCAGAAATGGTCAGCATGCATTTCTGCCACAGCTAAAAATCACCTAACCGTACAATACTGCCTGCAGCACAGCTATCGATACTTGTATTTCATCAGAAAGGCATTTCTTCTAATCAAAATTCTTCCAAGGAATACAAAGTTCCAGGTTCAACCTTTTACCCAGGTCAGTGCTCTACAGAATCAAACATTTTCGCATTGCCAGCTGGCAAAATTTCAGTGATTTCTTCATAAATTTCAACATAACTGCATTTGAGTTGAGTCAGCTTTTTTTTTCCTAGACTTGAATTGCTCAACATAAAGGCACCATAAAATATTTGCTCTCAGATTCCACATAAAACACTTGCAGAGTTCTTCTGGAGACTTGGAGCTTTTTGGAAGCCATGCATTCTCCAATGGTAAGTCAAAGGTTTAGATTTTTTTTAAAAGGAGGATACAGATAGTGATTTGCTTTAAAACTGCAAAAGAAGGATATTTAAGAGAATCACCTAATTACACATTTTTAAGTGTGGATGTATTCTATTAAAAACTGCAGATGCAAAGACAGACAGACACCTTTATGAAGATTACTGTGAATTTTGTTCTTTGCTTTGTAATTCTTTGCAAGAAACTTGCTGGTCTTTCATTTGCTGTTATCCTTTTCTCAGAAATGTTTGTGAAAATATTGAGAATTTTGTAAACATTTGCTTTCAAAACTTATAGATGTGAAATACAGTTTAAAATATAGTCCCTTTAGAATTAAAAGTGTAATACACAGTGTATTTTGTTGGCATTTTTCTTTTGATCTGTCAAGTTGTGTCCTGTTTCAGCTCTTCAAGCCTCCAAATGTATTTGCAGAGTCTGAATCAACAGTTAGGTAATGCTAAATAGACAGACAAAGCCTTATGACCCAGTTTTCCTCTAATTTATGTTCTCATAATCCCCAAAGGTAGAGACATCAATTAGTACCTTTTCTGAGATTCTCAGGAATGGCAAAGTTTTACAGAAGAGACAGTATTTTCTGTAATATATGTAGATTCATAAAGGGAGAAATTATCAACTACTTATTTCTCTACCTAACATTTCCTGAGGCCTTGTCTTATACTCAGACAAGACATAGGTGAACAAAGTGGTCTGGTATCTCATTCCACATTAATTCACCCACTTTCAAAGGCCATTAAATCTAGTTTGGAAGATTCTGTTCTGCAAGATGACTGGTGGCATCCCCTTTTTAAGAGAGCAAACATGCAAAAAAAAAAAAAAAAAAAAAAAGATTCCTTGAAGTGCCTTGCTCACAGACAGCCCAGAACAACACAACTGATGTTTGACGAAGAGCCCTCGGCATCAGTGCAACAGTAATACTCTGCCATTTCTAATAAAGGAACCTCTTTCTGCCCATGCTTTCTTACCTGTTTGATATCCTCTGTGCTCTGCCTACTAAGTGTGGGCCCTTTACTGCTAACTGTTGCTTAGCTGATGTCTCCTTTGATTGTTACAGTGTAAGGTCACTTCAGACAGCAATTTGACAGCACAGACTTTCCCTTCAGACCTAACCCCTGTTAGGTTCAGTGGATGGTCCAGATCTTTGGTCTTTAGAGAGAGGAGCGTGCCCAAGTTCATCTGACTGGCATTTCTAGGCATAGCAAGATAAAGACAAATGTTGGAGCAAACACAGGATGAAACATTCACAGAGGATAGCCCATCATAGCAAAAGAAAGATTTTTGTCTTTTATATAAAGATATGGGTGACAGCAGTAAGACCTCTTGTAGAACTGGCCTGTGCTGTTGCAAACACCTGAACCAGTTTGGAGGAAACCCACCACCAAACTCAGGATGGATGACTAATATATAGCAAGCAGTATCCCAAGCATGTTGAGATCCTCTGTAGAAAGCCACGATTGCCTGAGCTCTCAAAGCCCCGGATAGCTGCACAGCACAGACAGCCCCACAGATCCATGCCAAATGTACATGGAGCCTCAGCAGAGACCAGCTGCAATGTTACATCCTACAACTTCATGGAACAGGAGTTGCCTAGACAATTTTCCTTTGGCCAGGCACCACAGAACAGCGCAGTTTAAGAGTTTCAGTCTTTCTTCTTAACTTCTCATTCTGGCTATGGTCCTCAGCATGGCAACTGGTTCTATTCTACCCCAAAGCCTCAGGATCTCCAAATCATAGAACCATGATGGAAATTAAGCATTACACCCTTCTCAGACCACTCCATAGACCCACCTCCTCCCTTTCACTACCTATAAACGTTCCTCAGCCCTGTAAGAAGGCAGCACATCAAGGATTAAAATAGCAAGTGTTTTCCACAGCAGACAGAGGAGATTCCCCTTGACTCATCATCTCCCTAAGGTTCAGGACCTTTCAGTGTCTTTTGACATTCATGATTCAAGTAACCCAAGGTAGACAGCAGAGCTGCCTGAAAACAAACCCTCTCTGCTATTTTAAACCTCAGTTTCAAGTAGCAACTGCCTCTGGAGTTCAGAAGAGTAACTTGGAAACATCTACTCATTTTATAATCCTTTCATGTTAATCTGCAAGTGCTATCAAGAAAATTTAAGTAACTACCTCTACTGCTTCTCAGTCTCTGGCCATTCCTAAACCTTCGGCTTAAGTTACCCAGATTGAGCAACCCATCAAAATAACCCTGTGCTCTCTCACACTTCTCCAGCTCCTCTACCCCAGTATAAACACCATCACAACATTATGCAGGCTTTTTTAAAAAAAGTCCTGGTTGTTAAGCAGGTCCCAGCAGACATCTCTGAAGAGCTCTTAGAGATGTTTAGCTGTTGCCACTGCTAGGCAAAAGGAAGAGTATACTGTGACATGTCCAGACCTGTGCATGCATGGTTTGACAAGATGGCTCATGTGCTGCTAAGTAGATGATACAGCACTGGAATTTTGCTCTAAGACACTAATTTGAGTCTCTATTCTCTACCCAGCCACCTATTTAAAAAAATTTTCTGGAATATAATTAGGTCTGGGATGTCCACTCCACTGCCAAATTTGGAGAAATTGCTGTACCTAAAAGTGAAGTAATGGGATGCTATACAGACTGATTTGCTGGCGAAATAGCTAACTCTGACTCAAAGACAATAAATAAAGTACTAATGAGAGTCTGACAGGGCTTTCAAGTGTATAATACTATTGAAGCTTTTTGCAGTTTCTAGAGATTGGACTTTGGCAGAGAGTGATGCTGCTGACACATTTATGTCATATCATTTTGTCTCTCCCCTCCTAAAGAAAAAGTCATCAGTGGAGTGAAATATCTGGAATGCCCTTTTCCAACATCTTCATATACACATAAGGTTATTTCTAAGTTTTGCTTCAGGTTCACTGACTTAGCTTTTGAAAACAAAGATAATCAAAGTGGAATTAAATTCATGTCATGGGCTCTGTGTCTCTTTTACAGAAGTTCTTTCTGGCTTTCCTTGCTGCAATGGGCATCATAGTGACACTGGGTGATGCATACTGCTTTTCTAAAATAAACAAGCCAGGGGAGGCCGACAAAGGTAAGAACAGGGAAGGTCCTCTCACTTTATTGTTCTGTGGTAGCTCAGCTCTATGCGGAACTGCCAGGAAGGGCTCAAAATACAAGGTGGGGGTGGGGCAAGGGGGGAGGAGATGTTGGAAAGCCGTGAATAGGAGGTTCCAGCACCAAGTTTCCCAAAGCAGGGGAAAACAAAGTCTTCCCCTGGACTAAGTGTGGTTGCAGCAATATTATTGCTATTGGTGGTGGGTTGCTATTGCTATTCCAGCACATGGAGCTGATGCTGCAGTTGAGAATAGTTCTGAATAAAGTATGGTGGCAGACCTGGGTGTTTGGTTGCTCACTTTCACTCCACATCTGTCACACTGAAACTGTCTCTAACAAGTGAAGAAGAAACAAGTTCAGGCTCTCAAAAATAGTCCAAGTAATAACCTGGAAAACAAAATGACTTCTACTTTACTATTGCCAAGAAAAACACTTTCAGAAAACTTGCAATTATCATTTTTAAACTTTTCAATCTTTATGTGGAGGCTTAAAGAACACATTTTCTTTTGCTGCTGTCTTATGCAGGCTGTATCCTGGATGGAAAACCGTATCCCTTTGGAGACATCGCTAGGACACATAATTGCTTTAGATGCAGCTGCAGCCAGGATGCAATGCGCTGCTGCTCCCTGTAAGTTTGAACTTCTTGGTAGCATCGTTGCCCATAGGAAGACCACAGCTTTCCATTTGCTGGGAATAAATGAGTTTCTAAGGGCACAAGAGAGCCTTTCCTTACCCTTGTCACAGAGCTAGTGCAAGCCACGTACAACTCTTGATCATTTGGATCCTTGGCTGTGTTTACCTTAGCTCACTTTCTGCTGACTGGGAGCGTGGGAGTGGACACAGGCCCTTCCAGATACATCCAGTTGGTGATCGCCTTTAATTTTGAGCAACTTGTCAACCCCTCTTACACTGCAGTTAAGTCTTTTCTTAGCAGGGAAAGTGAGGGTATAAATGGTTTTATTATGATCATCACCTTTGCTCAGGTGACACTCAGTCTGTCAGGAAACATCTACCACATTCTAAGCAAACTGGCAATAATGAAAAATTAGTGGAAAAGAGATAAAACATGCTGAGACCATGCTTATGTCATACTGTGGTGTGCTGTGCTAGAAATCCCTATGCTAGTGCTGAGCATACTGGTGCATCAAACAGCACAGTGCAGCAAGGCATTTGAGGCCCTGGAAGCTGTAGCCGTGTGGCACTCAAGCTAGCTAGACTGATCTTAGCCATAGTTTCAGAGATATCCCACTTAGCAGTAGTTCAAGCTGTAGTCACTGAACCACTGAAGTATTGAATCTTTTATTACTCTCAATCTAACATTTGCTTTCTCTTTGCCAATGACAGCTTTCATACTCCTATTGGTTTTGACAAAGTGAACTGTAAAGTCGTTTTCAACAAGGAAAGCTGTGACTATGACGTGGTGCAGAAGAGTGACCCCTCAAAGGAGTGCCCCGTCTTTTCTCGTGTGGGCTAACAACCCACCTGCTCCGAACCTGTCTACCCTGTGGAATTCCTCCCCTTCCTACAGATGCTTTGTCATCAAAGAGAAGCTTGAAGACATGGGAGATCTTGTAAGAGAGAGTAGTTCAGCAGCTCACTTTTAATCTCCTAATTGTTCTAATTCAGTATACAGGATGTATAATCAGATACATCTCCTTTCTGTCATTACTTGCATTGGTATCACTGAGCTTTTTTGAATACAATAAATCCTAATGAAACATCCAGAAACACTTCCTAATGATGGCTCTTTTTGTAGAATAACACTGGGCAATGTCACCGTCTTTGAGAGAGGAACGCATTTGCCTCACTACTTCAACATGCAGTGCCCTGGCACAAGCCACTCTCACACTTTGCAGGTTCTGCTCTAGCCAGAGGTGAAGGCAGACATTTTAGCTCACCAGGTGTCAAAATCCATTATCATTTGGGAAGGATGCACTGTTTGGGACATGTTGTACGATGGCTCCAACTCAGGGCACACAGGGCACACCTGAACTGCAGCAGGACTTTTGGCAAGACCCGTGCTGCTAACACCTGTGACATCTGAAAAACAGTGAGGATGAAAGATCATCATCCATGTTCTCCTTCCCGCCTCCCCCCCCTTTTTTTTTCCTTTTCTTCTTTTCAGCAATGTCATCACCCAATAGTGGTGGCTGTTCCTTTCCATTGCCCACTCTGACCTGCTGCCAGGTGTTCTCCTCCAAGCTCTGTTCCTGAAAGTCTGCACACACCGTACTGCATTAGTGGTTCTTACCCACATGGAAAAAGAGATCTAGCTCAGTCCCTGGAGACATGCTTCCTTGTGGCAGCAGAGCTTGAGATACTAATAAAAGGCAGATGCCTTCTGTCTCTTTCAGTACAAAAATTCCCCACACTCCCTGGGGAGAGAAGTCCAGCCAGTGATGGAATTCAAAACCAAATCTCCCACTTGGCAATTGGTAATATCCTAAATCTGCCTACATACAGGAGACAAGGCAACAATACCCTGTAAAATGCTGCTTGTACATGGCCTCTTTGCTCCAGAATTAACAGTCCACAACAGCTTGCAGTTAACTGTTGCATGGTTTGAAAAGAAACGCACCTTTCCAGGACATGTGGACTGTTTAATGGTGCTCCATAATCACAAGTCTGTTGTCTTGAAAAAGTACACAGTTACACACAGCTGAGCAGTCTTAGGGACAGGGATCCTCACTTGGCCCAAAGTCAATTGTCAGCCTGTGTTTATTCAGCAGGGGTACTTGCTGACCCGTCTCAGGCTCTGTGAGCCATCAGTAAAATCAGAAGGATTTAACACGACATGTTTTCTCTGGCTTTGTTTTTGGTAATTTGCCTATAAACATTGCTTTAAACTTTCTTATGGCTTCACTTAAGATACCACCTTTCAGGAAAAAATCCAAGTATTTTGCAAGCACTGGTATTACATTCTTAGCCTTTTAAAGTTCTCAGCACCACAGGCTGAATATCAGTCAATAACCCCGTGTTTCTGTACAATTGCTTCCTGCAAGGCTGAAAAAATGTGAGGGGCCAGAATTAGAGTCGGTTCAGCTTTTTCCAGTACAAGCATTTGCATATGCTTTTTAAAAATATGGCTTTCATCTACTGATTTAATCATGTCATTCCTCAAAATTCCCCTAAACATCAGCATGTGGAAATGAATGTTCTCACGTTGCTTAAGATCTTAAGGTAAGTTTTCTCCAAAGAGTTTTCATATCCTGCAGGAGAGGAACAGTTTTGAAATTTGTCCTGAATGACTCTTCCCCTTTTCTGCCAGCTCATGTCAAAATTACACAGAACACAGGCTCAACTGGTATCTGAAGGAGTGTTCTCACTTATGGGACAAATAGCTGCAGCTTCTTAGGGAAAGTAATATTTTGAGCATGGAAATTCAAAGACTTCCTACCTAAATAACTCACAGAACTGCTTCCTGAGAAAAATCAGTTTTTTGTTTTGTTTTTTAAATCCCAGTTTTAAAAATAAACATTTGTATTGCTAACGAAAGTGCCTTGGAGGCTCCTCATGGATTATTTTTTAAATCAAACCACTGAGAACTGCACACATCAGGATTAACATCCAGTTTGTTGTAGTCTGGAACTATGCCATGTGATACTGCAGGTGATTTCAGTATTCCAAGTTTTGGCCTACCATAGTCTTACAAATAAAGGTTACATTTTTCTTCTGAAACATCTGAAAATTAGTTTATTATCTCATAAGGTCACATTCATGTTCTTAATATTGGTAGTTCCTCAGTAAGATTTCAGATTTTAAGTGACTTACAGATACTTAGTATACTTTTAAATTAAATAGAATTTCATTCTACTTATTACCTTATTTGGGCCTTTATTTATTTAAAATTAGGAGCCTTACTACCTCCTAGAGTCCCAAGTGTTTCTGTACTATCCAATTTTCTTACAGATGACTTTCTCCGTGCAAGAAGATTTCTGATTTGCTGACAGCACCATTTAAACTATGAGTGAATGAAACAAGAAATCTAGCACAGGCTTTGAATCTCATGCTTAATATATTCATTAAGGTTATAAGACTGGGAAGACACAGCACATTTGATCAATGTGATTAATGCATCCTTTCAGAAGTTATCTGTGGGTGGGGAAGCCCCTCTTCCACTGCAAGGGCACCTCCTCCACTACATGTACTTGAAGCAGAATCTGACAGCCCAGCATAAACAAGAGCAGACACTAGAGAAGCCAGAAAATGAATTCTGGTGAGTTTACTGGGTCCAGTAAATGTGGAGAGAACTAACCCAGAGGCTCCAGAGAATAGTCTGGCTTCACCGAGATCCAGAAATTCCCTCCAGATGTTAAAAAAAAAATTTAAAAAAAAAAGATCTTTTAGATTCAACATGCAATTGTATTGGGTTTTCTATTGCCAGAGTTGCTGGCACTACTAAAACTATTTTTCCCCTAAATAAAACAATTTTAGCAACAAAGCTCAGGAATCTTGACTCCCTCTTGCTATAAAGTGGAAAGCCCCTCTAGTGAGAGAGGAAATGCTTAACAGCATTGTCGCAGCTAGTTTTCACTTTTTTTTTTTTTTTTTTTGCATTCATGAGAGGATCCAGCTGCAGGAAAGCAGGACGATGTATCACTCACTCTGTTTTGAATACTTGTCATTATTTGTGTGCCATAAAGACAAGGGTTATACGTGTAGGACAGAAACATGGAGAGGTACCAGTTCAGTTTTCCATCCTTCACAGCGATGAAACTGCTTGTTAGTTACTAGTTGAATTTCAATAGCTTCCTCAGAAATCCCAACAGAACCTCTCCAAACCTGAAATATAGTTGTGTTTGATTTGCTTGGCAAGACACTGATGAGTAAGTTTTTGCTATTTTTATATTCAACCTTGCAGGAAACACCAGACAGGCCACGCAAGAGCTCCTTAGAAACACATTGTTATCATAAGTCCAAATTTCAGATTCTTAAGATTTCATAGCACTTGGAGTCAATCTGTTGAGATGTATGTGATCAGAGAGCCATAGCAGAACCATACATGCACTTGAGCTTCAACCTATTTCACATTTGAAGGAATAACAAAAATAAAATGCTACCTGTCATTTCATGAAAAACAATTACATAAAATCTGTTAAATGTTCTACCCTTTCAGGTGCTGTGATTCCTGTTTGCTTTCTCAAAGAGGGGGAAAGCAATGCTTATAGCACAAGTATGCTCTCAGTAAATGTTAAAATACTTTCAAGAAGTAGTCACAGACATTGTGGGGTGTTTACAGCCGTGTTTCCTGGGCTTTCTTCTTGACACTGCTATGCAGTGCACACTGTTATTATGAAATAAACAGCCTGAGCTCAATTCTGGTGAAACCTGCCGGAGATAAGAGCCACAGCAACCCTCTTTATGTTGTTCTGTTCTAGTTGCTGCCCATCAGGAACAGACAGGAATGGTGCAGAACAAGAAATGAGAGGAAGCAAGATTTTATACGTTACAACAGAGAAGAAAAAAGAGAAAAGACCCAAACAGTCAAGATATCCCATGGATTTCACTGAAGCATTCCGTGGCTGCCCTCCCTACCCCAATCTCTTCTGAGTTCATGCAGCAATAATACCCAACTAACAAGTTTAGAAAATGAAAACAAGCTCATGCTTTCTAAATCCAGAACTCCAGACTGGAGTTCGCTGTTGCACCACTCAAGTTCCACAAAGCCAGAAGCACCGGTGGCAAGAACTACCACAATACTCCCATCTGCCACCCTTCCTACAGCTAATTCCTTAAGTCACACCTCCATCAAAAATTCTACTTGTTCACAGACTTATGATTGTCATTTGCTTAATCAGCTGCAGGGCTGGGATAACAAGCTGTGTTTGGAATCACTGTGTTTTCTCATTTCTGGAATAAATTTTTCTGTCATTTTCTGGTTCACTGAAGATTTCTAAGATCTCATGTTCACAAGCCCTGGTCCTCATGGGGCGACTTCAGCCACCCTGATATCTGTTGGAGGGACAATGTAGCAGGGCATCAGCAATCCAGGAGGATGTGTTGATAACTCCTTCTCCAAGTGATAGAGGAGCCAAAAAGGAGGGATGCCAAGCTGGACCTTGTTCTCACCAACAATGCAGGGATGGTGGGGAAACGTGAAGCTCAAGGGTAGCTGCAGTGACCATGAAATGGTGGAGTTCAAGATCCTTAGGACAGTGAGGAAGGTGCACAGAAAGCTTACTACCAGATGATCTTTAAGGTCCCTTCCAACCCAGACCATTCTATAACTCTGTTGCCACGTGGCTTGAGTTGAAAGTTAGAAGTGTGGGAAATTCTGCATTTCCCATAAATTGGTGATCTCTTTTTTCACTAGCTCTGGCACTCCTATCCATTCTGTTTTACTGCCTCTGGACTTTTATCCTTGCTGCTATAGAATCTGTGGCTATCTTCCTCACACTGCAGAGATGGAGGTCTCCTTGCAAACACAGCCCGGCCTTTGCAGTTGGTTCTTTAGATCTCCTTGTCTGTCTCTATATCCCTTGCTTAACACTGATCCTTCATTTGGGGATCATGACCTGACAGGATTTTCCAGCCTAGCTGAGGAATTACCATGCGTTTTAAAAACCATGCATTTGTGCCTTAGCAAGAGCGGTCTTTGTTTATCCACAGAACTAATCAGCGGAAAAAAAATGAAGTGTTTCTCATCCCACTGAAATTGCATTGAATTAAAACTGAAATTTGGCCCCAGGATGGGGACTCTGCTACTTATGGAGGGAGATAGGGGTGTTCAGATCAGAGGAGAAATTACATTGTTGTCTCCAGCTCGGGTCACCCAGTTTGAATGGAGACCTCAGTTCAAATTTCTGCTGTGCCACATGTTAGCTGGGACAAGTCACTCACACAATCTGTTCCCCTGGCCTGTAAAATTAATACAATTCTTTGCTAATCCCTATACCAGGAGAGATATGAGGGCTTTAAGGTTTGTGGGTATATGAGCCTCAGAGTTAACAAAAACATTCCCACCAAGATAAAACTTCCTTCTACCACATTTACAATACATTTCTGTGTCAACAGCACACCCTATATTTTAGCTGTTTGCTTGTGCTTTTCCTTAAAACAGTTGACCTTTCTCACCTGCAAATGTGGCAGACTTTGTTTAACAATTGTAAAACCAATGTGCATTATACATAGCATTGCCAGTTTAAGGTCAAGACAAATTTCTTTGAAAAATAGTGTTTACTTATGATCTGTGAGCTGATATACCTCATGCTTCCTCTTGGTGTCTCCATCTCAATAGCAGTACCAGCCAACCTACTGTTTTTAATGACTGGATACATGGACTTATCTTCCATAAGGAGTCCTGCACTTGCTCTCTCCTGCAGAAAGCAGATTCCTCTCAAGAATGTGAGAGTAGTACTGAAACGCTGGGTTAAGAAACAAAGTTCCTGGACTGCTTTCATTCTGGTGCATCTCTTCTAGCTTTAAGTTGTTTATAGAGTAATGCTTTTCATAGGTATTAGCTAGTTTGTTGGGTTTTTTAATAACATTACTACTCCAAAATCCTGCTGTATTTCTCTCTAGTGATTGCCTAGCACTGAAAGATACAGAAAAAACAATGCTGATTATCTAGCATTACTCTCATTATCTCTGTGGTCATCAGAGATATGTAACCACAAATCCTAGCTGAAGAATGACTAAGTAAAACAGCAAGGTAAATCTTCAAGAAAGTCCCCAAGACTCCCCTTTCTACTTTAGGAAGAAACAGGATACTCTGTTCATCAGCATAAGTGGAAAGAGGGCACAAAACTGGGCAGACCACAGATATTCTTAGAATATTTTTAGTAAGAAATAAACTGCTTGGGGAGACAACACAAAATTTCAACAGAGCAATGTCTGTTGGAGATACCTGCTCCCCACACAAGCAAGGCACCTGTCATCCTGTACACCAACATCATGAAAAAGAAATGCCACATAATATGGGCCACAAATGACCTCAGTAATCAGTGTATGAATGGACTATCTACATAGAGTTTGCTGTTCTGAGTGTTTTCAGCACCACAGCATGTTGTTAGGGTCCCCTGAGTGCACAGATCATGCAGGGAGCTTCTTCACTGTCCCTAGACAGTGGCCAGGCTTAGACAGGTCACTCTCTGCTGCATTCCAAAGAAAGCTGCTTGCAAGAACTTCTCTCCATACCTGGCATAGCTTACACCTAGAAAACAGGGAGGGTCCTGCAAAGGCAACAACTGGGCAGTCACTGCTTGTTTAGAAAGTTGAGAGAGAGCGCGCGCTCATTGGTTGGATTTTTGGGTTTGGTTTGGGTTGGTTTTTTTTTTTTTGGAATTGAGCAACAAACGCATTCTCTGTCACTCAGCACCAAACTAGCAAGTTGACTGGGTTTTGACTCTAACAAATTCTGAAGTCTCACTGCAGTACACCAGCATCACAAATGTCTATGTGTCTGGTGACTTTTGTTCACATACAAAAACTGCTGCAGAGCGCCCATCAAGAAAAATATTGCATGCAAACTCCACAACATGCGAGAAGAAAAAAATTAAATGGCTCTGCAATATGACCAGAATTAAGGCAATGTAATTTGATGGTCCTTTTCTTCCAAACTATCATGGAAGACTTTCTCCAGATTATCTTTGAGGACATGGAAGAGCCAATATCTTGAACTCTGTGGTACTTCCCACAGTATTTTCAGCCCAGGTGAACTAGTTACTGCTCAGCACATAAAGATTACAAAGAGCAGACGTGTAAAACTAGGGTCCGTCCTTAGCCATCCCACAGATATACATCAATTAAGTCAGGAAGCATAGGAACAGGATGTGGGAGGGAGAGAGTGAATTCTCTGAATCTTCACTGCAACCAACACAAAAGGCAGCTTTGGTCTAGTATCAGGGTGTATTACTTTGTTATCCTCCTGAGCCTTTTTTTCCTCATTTAATAGAAAAATCCACATGCTCTGAAATACCTCCCCTGAAGCAGTGACAGTATCCCAAACCACAATGATGCTGTTAAATGCACTTCATACATATTTGTGAGAGATCCAAAGGAGACATTTGGACTCTGCTGGTACCAGTAAAGAAATTCCCAGTGCCTGTGCTCATGGGCTGACACATTCTGTTGGTTTACCAGTGACTAGGAGCCAAGGGCATGAGCCGTGTGGCTGTTGTGTTAGTTACCTCCTTTTTCAGGGCAGGGCATACGTCAGCATGGACAATCTAACTTATTAATGATAGGCTGATTGTGGGCAGCTTTAGTCAAATCTATGAATACTGGCCAGCACTTCAGCTTTTTTCTGCCATCCTGAAGAAAGGTCTGGTAACTGAAGAAAAACCAATTTACCCAACTGAGTTGAAAGCCAGCTAAGGCTGTCCTTCTGAGCGGTGCTCTCACTGTGATGCCCATTGCAACAACACTGGCTTTTTTACATGGACTTCCTGAGCTAGCTCTCAACCCTGGAGTCTGGGTAGAAGACATGGAGTAGCCACCACAGCTTGGACTTCAGCCTCAACTCTCAAACCCACACAATAAGGCAATGCAATTAGGCAGTCAGAGTAGTGTCATGGTTTAACTCAGCCAGCAGCTAAAACAACCACATAGCTGTTTGCTCACACCCCTCCCCAGTGGGATGGGGGAGAGGATTGAAAAGGAAAAAAAAAAAAGTGAAATTCACAGGTTGAGATAAAGACAGTATAATAGGACAGAAAAGGAAGATGATAATAATAATAATAGTAATAATAACAGTAGTAGTAATAATAACAATACTAATAATAATAACCACCACAGAAAATACAAAACCAGTGATTAACAACACAATTTCTTACTACTCAAAGCAAATGCTCAGCTAGTTTCCAAGGCGCACTGCCTCCTGGCCACCCCCCAGTTATATACTGAGCATAAGCTCATATGGTATGGAATATCCTGGCTGTGACCCCTCCCAGCTTCTTGGGTGTCCCCCACTTCTTGTTGGCAGGGCAGTATGAGAAGCTGAAAAGTCCTTTACTACTTGGCAACAACTAAGAACATCAGTGTGTTATCAACATTATTCTCATCCTAAATCCAAAACACAGCACTATACCAGCTGGTAGGAAGAAAATTAACTCTATCCCTGCCGAAATCAGGACAAGTAGTTAGTTCACATATTGCAAACTGCGTAGCCATGGTAAGGAAGAAGTCTTCCCCTACCAGGGCTACACAGTTTGCAATATTTGAACCAGTTAGGTCAAAGCTAAGCAAAAGGGGATTGTACTTAACTCCTTTGCTATCACATTATTGTCTTAAGCATTTGGAAAGTGTGTCTGCCCCTGACACACACAGCCTCTGCAGAAAAGAAACCATTTCTCCCCAGCTACAAGGATGAAAGAAGAAAATAAGATGTCTATTTTTCTCCCACTCACGGAAGGCCTGAGTGTATGGGTCTTCTACATGATGAAAAACTGAACAAGGAAGAAAAGTTATCTAGGACCCTTTCCCAGGGGCCTACAGTTGCGAGCCACTCTCCACAGAAACTCTGCTTTACATGTAGCCCTTCCAACCACCACTCCTTTTCCACGAGAGCCTTCTTTCATCTTCAGCTGATGAACAAGAAAGCTGAATAATTGTCCAAAGTTCCTCTCTTTTAAAACCTAGATGGTTCAAACTAAGCACACAAATTTTGTTGAGTGACAACCACAACACCTCTGATGGGTTTCTCAGGGCAAGTGCTAAATATTCCTTCCAAGCTTGAAATGCCTTTTGAAGTACCTCCCATAACTGCCTTCCAGATCTGGTGTGGCACAAAAGCCACACCTATTTCTTCAGTGCCTTTCAGAATCAAACATTTCTGTATATAATTGGCTTATTTTAATAATGTCCACCACATGAGGTCATTTTGCAGAAATCTCATTGGACTATTCATGCATGTTTAGTTTGCTCCAGGACTGGTATCATAAATTCCCTCTCTATATAAGTTCTCTAAGAAGATGAGCTTCTTACAGGTTGTCTCCTTACTGGAAGCCTCATAATTCTGCAAGAATGGTGAGTCCTTACATCTTATACTGTAAAAGACCATGGTATTTTGCTATAGATTTTAAAGGAGGTTCTGTTGGATTTATCTCAGTACTGAAAGAGAAATTCTGTGTTTTGAGTTAAATCAGACAGGCACTGGCAGGTAAGAATCTTGGGTAAAAGATAACCAGCATGCATATGATAGGAGATGTCTAATAGGACTCCAGCTAAGGCTTTTTATTATAACCCATTTTCACTTACCTGTAATGTTTGGAGGCAATCACTTTTCTGGTAGAAAGCAGCCCTGTTGTGTCTCAACCTAGAACTGGCCTTAATTTTTGTGAAAAGTCTGGATAACATCTGAACATTTAGTTAAACTCAAAAATGTTATCTTGATTTTTACTCATTTGCAGCTCTGTCGCAGTTCTGTGGGTTTTAACCTCTTTGCAAAATTAAATGGCAGTTTTCCTTGCTCTCCTCTCTCAGATATGACTTCTTTTTGTAAGTTCTATTCTGTCCAAAAAACCCACAAGTGTGTGTATATGTCATTGTTTATTCCTGGTCTTCCTTTTATCTCTTACCAAGATTTTAAATTCATCACAGCTAATTCCACCCTAGAGTTCTTGCACTTATTTCCTCCATATCCCCAGTGAAAGCCCTTCAAACAATTCAAACTAATATTGAAGGATAAAGGTCTTGCTGAGGAATTTAAGCTGAATTTTCAGGAAAAAAAAATGCTGAGAAAGGTCATAAAATACAGAATTATCTAGGTTGGAAGGGACATCTGCAGGTCATGTGGTCCACCTTCCTGCTCAAATCAGGGCCAAATTTTGAGGGTTCAGCTTCAGATAAAGTTCTTCAGCTTGTTCCTAATCCTTCAATATTAGGGTGAAACAATCAGTGGGTTCTTTAGACTCCAGTGAAGAAGTGTTTACAACTATCAGTGAGATTAGCGGCAGAGACAGTTGGCAGCCAATCCTATGGAGAAAATAATGACAAGAAAAATGAATGGGGAGGGGAAAGGAGTAGAAAACACTCATTTCACAAACTGAGTCTATTGGTCCTTATTAGGCAACGTTTGATTTTAGAGCTTGGAAAACAGACTTTTTTTCCCCTCCCAAATGAGGCTCTGACTCTGCTCCTTCTAAATGGCTACAGAAAACAATGGATTTTGATTTGAAAATACAATGTATTTTTCCTATTTTTAAAGGTAGTATTTTTCATCAAGACATCTTAATAGTTACTTAAGTTTTCATATGAATTCTGCTTTCTTATTCAGAAAACCAGCTTGGCCTGCCTTCTTGTTCTTGCCATTAGTGTGACCCTATCCAATGCTGCTTGCTTCTTTGAGATATTGAAGCCAGGGATATCGGATGGTGAGATCATAGGTAAGAAGTCAACTGTCCTCAACTTGACAGACATCACCACAAGCTCCACCTGATCTGATTTGTCCATTCGGTGCAATTTGTCACAATTTAGCAATGAGTGGAAACAGTGGAGAGAAATCACTAGGAAATGGGGGTGGGGGGGGTGGAATGCCGTATGGAGAGCAGAGAATTTATAATATGTTATAAAAAAAGAAGAGTTTATCCGAGGAGCATCACACAGGCCAAATTACAAATGGATTTTGCCCAGGGAAATAGCATGGGCTTATTTTATAAGTCTGCATGAGGTAATAATTCATTTTTTCACTATGGCAGCATATTTAGAAATACAGAGAAGGGAGGAGAAGGACCTTTCTCTGTGTGTGGCCAGTATAAAGCAGGAAACAGATTAGCAAATGTTCAACAGACTGGTCAGTTTACTCAATAGTTGGAAGGGACCTTTAAAGATCACCTAGTTCAACCCCCCCCCCCTACAATAAGCAGGGACATCTTCAACGAGATCAGAGCCCCATCCAGCCTGACCTTGAATGTTTCCAGGGATGGGACATCTACCACCTCTCTGGACAAACTCTTACAGCATTTCACCACCTTCATTGTAAAAAAAATTCTTCCTTATATCTAGTCTAAATCTACCCACTTTTAGTTTAAAACCATTACCCCTTGTTCTATCACAGCAAGCCCTGTAAAAAGTTTGTCCCCATCTTTCCTATAAGCCCCCTTTAAGTACTGGAAGGCTGCAATAAGGTCTCCCTGGAGCCTGCTCTTCTCCAGGCTGAAAAACCCCAACTCTTTCAGGCTGTCTTCATAGGAGAGGTGCTCCATCCCTCTGATCATTTTTGTGGCCCTCCTCTGGACCCACTCCAACAGCTCCATGTCTTTCCTGTACTGAGGACCCCAGAGTTGGACATAGTACTCCAGGTGGGGTCTCACCAGAGCAGAGCAGAGGGGGAGAATCACCTCCCTCAGGCTGCTGGCCATGCTTCTTTTGATGCAGCTCAGGGCTTTCTGGGCTGCAAGTGCATGTTGCTGAGTCACGTCCAGCTTTTCATCCACCAGTACCCCAAGTCTTTCTCCACAGGGCTGCCTTCAATCCCTTCATCCCCCAGCCCATATTGATACCAGGGGTTGCCCCAACCCATGTGCAGGACCGTGCACTTGGCCTTGTTAAACTTCACGAGGTTCACATGGGCCCACTTGTTGAGCTTGTCCAGGTCCCTCTGGGTGGCATCCTGTCCCACGGGCATGTCAACTGTGCCACTCAGCTTGGTGTTGTCTGTAAGTTGGAGAGGAACTTTGTATCCAATACGTGCTTTCTTCCTGCAGCTGAGGATTGGGAAAAGTTTTCTGGGTAGATTTAGTCTTGCTCTAAATGACGAGCCAACAATAGTTGATGTCAATGAGGGGGGAATTCAAAGCTTTTTTTAAAATTCTGACCAAGTTTGTGCCTAGTTGTCTTTCTGCTGGGTTTTCCGTTTCCTGTACTTACGGATGAGCTACTCCATCCAGTAGGAAAAGGAAACCAGATGCTGCCAAGAGCCACAGGAAACAGAGGGACCCAGGATACCCTTCTCCATGCATTAGAATAGTAGCAGTCCTGTTCTGTTCGGGAGCCTCGGTGTTTGCCAGATAGGGATGTTAATGTAAAAAGCCAACAAAGTTCCCACTCATTTTGTACGAGCAATAGCATTGTTAGTGCAGTAGGTCTGACACTGAAGGCTGCTTACATACTGTTTTTAGGCTGCCGTGACTCAAATGGAGAGGTACATAAATTTGATTCCCACTGGAGAAATGCAGACTGCTATGATTGCACCTGTTCCAGGGATGGAATCAGCTGCTGCTCCAGGTGAGTTCAGAGCAGCTGTGAGGGTTTTCCTCCACTGCCACGATACAGCACAAAGCACTTCCCTTCACATGGGGGTCCCTGAGAAACAACTGTGACCCTTCTCTCACTTCATATCACAACGTTACGCATTAACCCAACACCACCATCACTGAGCATGCAAGAAGTTCCTCTGAAAAATATGGCTCATGTTTAAAAGATTATTCTTGATTAAAAAAAATGACTTAATTCTTTTGGAGGCTAAAATTTCAGGCTAGATATCGATTCAAAAGAGAAGACATAGTTGCTTAAGAATTTTCTACTGGCCCTAATCCAGATCTTCCCAAAGCCACACATAGCCCTTTTTTACTTTGAGAAACAGCTAAAGATACACTAGTCTGCCTATATTTTTACTATAGCGACACCCAGGCACTCATGCAATTCTTGTTCCATACTGTGGCTGAAAAGAAAAATCAATTATTTTTGAGTCGTAAATAAATACAACAAACATCCCATGGGTTTAAATCGGATCAGTAAACAACCCTCCCCTAATCCTGCTTAAGCAACAGGCTAAGTAACTTTTGAGCTGGGAGCTTTGTGTGAGCTCCCTTTTCTGCTCATGACACCTTCTCAGTATAGCCTCTTCATATTGAAAGTGTAGATACCATCCGACATGGAAGCTATTTACTTGTTGGTCTCATCACCTCTTTGTCTTTCTCTTCCCAATGACAGCTTTGCAACACCAGTTGGCTATGATAAAGAGAAGTGTATAAGCATTTTCAACAAGGAGGAATGCACTTATAAAGTAGTGGAGAAAGATGATCACTCAAAAGAATGTCCAGTCCATGAGTGGGTGGGCTAACAGAAAAGGACTGTGCTTTTGGAGGATACTTGTTTGGTTTTTTTTTGTTTTAAGGGTTCTCTCTCTCACAAATTCAGAAACACTGAAAAATGCAGCTGTTGAGTGAAATCTACTCATAAAACCTAACACATAATAAAAGTGAATATCTACTTACAAAAGACTCCTTGGTTTCTCTGCCTTCTGCTTCCCCATGAAGAACTTACTTGTTCCTTCCTTGAGAGCAGAAAATTAAAGCCAACATTCTTAAGCATCCTCAGTAGCTGCTAATTTTAATTCTTCTCCAGTCACACTTCAGTGCCAAGGAGTGTATTCTGTTATCTGTGCACAGCTGTATCTTAAAGATAAAATAAAATCAGATGAAGCATCAGAAATTCATGTGACTTATTTTCTTCTTTGAGGATGAAAACCTGAAGAATTAACATCCCAAAAAGCCATGGGAAAGAAATAAAAAGCAACTTAAAAATCTTTAACACTTTCTTTTCTAGTACAATGTCTTAGATGATAATCTTTTATCCTGTGCAGTTCCCTGGAGCCTGCCCAACCTATGGACTGCAAGAGCCACCGGCTACCCAATCTAACCCAGCAGTGTACTTTCATTGCACTCACAGCACAGCAGACCCAGTCCTCAACCTGGGGTTTGGGTAAAAGAGAGGGTCTTTTATTCAGATTAACCCTTAAGAAATTCAAGTTATTAAATTGGCCAATGGGCAGGATTGTGGCTGGATGGAGAGACTGATCTGGGCTGGGCTCAAACAGGGGAGAAACTCAGTAAATCCACAAACAAAAACTGAGAGGGATACATGTGCTGATATAAGCTCTCCCTTGGGGCGCTGCTTCATAATTTTTATGGGTACATATGTTCAGTTGCCTCTTTCCACAAGTGACTATGAGCATCCTATGTCTCCATGCTCTATTTCCCTGTAACAGAAAGAGCCTGTCAGAGCTTCCATGGTTCCCCATTTCAAATTATGGAATGAGCACACACCTTGTCAGCAAGGCCTGGTCTTGCTGTCTGCAGGGGAAAGGCAAACCTCAGCTTCAGTCAGCCTTGACCACATATGCTCCAGTAAGCAGCACAGGACCCTAGCAATTACACCCCAATGATTTATTCCACTCTGCTTCCCTTTCTTCTTCTCTAGGAAGACAACCCTGTTGGTTACACTTTTTTTTTTTTTTTTTTTTTATAATTACCTGCCACATGCCCTCTTGGAAGAGGGCCCACAGTAATGTACTTTATATGACAATTTACAAGCCAAAGCTACTAATGTCACTGTGCAAATAGACTAAAGGCGTCACAAAGCCCATAAGGCACTTACATCAAGAGCAGTAAAAATTACATCTACTGGGAAAAAGGTAAGAGGGTTCTGCATGATTTGAGCTGCATCTGTCCTACTTTCTCCTTTCTAGGCAAAAAACATGCAAAACTTTGAAATCTTGTGCTCCACATCAGATGAGACACAGGTGTCAACAGGCTGCCCTGGAGCACACACAAGATTGGGCTGTAACTGAGTCGATGTTCTTGAAGCCCAAGAAGATGCTGTATGCATGAAACCAGGACAGGTGTATTTACACAGATAGTCAACTATAGTGCATTGTGGAACAAGCTTTGTAACCAACTATTTAGGCAAATGATTAGTATCCGTCTTGATCAGATGCCCCTTAGTGATAATGAACTGTTTCATAGAACCAGTCAAAAATAAGATCCAGAGTTCACGATTATATTCAGGAACACTACAAGCTAGGGAATACAAAGACTAAGAATATAACAGTAACCAAAATGCAATGTGCTCTGATGACATTTCTGAAGGCAGTGGTATAAACTTTCTCAGTATTTACAGAGATATTCTGAGTTCAGTATGCAGACATCTGCTTCTGAACCCTTGAATTACTCCTTTTCTGCAGTACCATAGCCTAAACTGAAAGTATTGATGAGTCTGAAATTGTGACCTGTGTTTGACTGAAACTGAGCTTTGTGTTTATGATCTCTTATATAAAAGAGGTCAAGTTCTGTGCAATCTTCCAAAAGAAGTTAATTCCTTTTCTGCATCACTTAAGTCTGCTAATTTCTTCTTCTCCAATTGTTCTGAGGGCACCAGTCTTTTCTATTCCGATGCAGATCTTAATCTGATATCTAAACCAGAATTAAATCCACCAAAAGCCATTTACCCCGAGCTCCTTACTGTGTGCTTAAGTTTGCCTTTTTGAGTATTTTCAGACAGAATAGAAGCGGATGAGGCACCCTATTATGTAATGCCTGAAAATTGTCCAAAGGCTGGGACCATTAAAACTGAGTCACTTCAGATGGACTCTACCCAAGCATCAAGGCCATAAGAGGAAGTTTAAAAAGCAAGCCATTATTCCATACTGTATCTTACAGGACCCATTCGTGTGCAGGCAGGACTCATGTTCTCAGGCATGAATCTTGCTGTGTACAGCAGGTAGAACATTCAGATTCACAGCCTATCCCAATATCCAACAAAGAACAAAAACGTTTGCCTGCCAAGAGGAGATGGGCATTTGTGAGGCCGTCTTGATTTGCTATAGTGGAATGGAGTGTGGACAGATCATGTTGGAGCTTTTTTTAATAGTCTTCAGCCTTTTTTACACATCATAAAGGAGAGATTTTTCTCTGTGTTATTGCCATCCTGGCAGCAAATGCAATTTGAGCTCCACCCACAAGAAGGAACCCATCTTCTTACTAGATTTGTTCCTGCAGTAATAAACTCCCTTTACCACAGGCTCCAGCTCCCTAATTGGTTTAATCCAGTGCACGTGTAGGCTGTTAGTTTCCTACTTGCCTCTAGCTACCACCTGCCTTATTCTAGCACCAAAATTTTGTTTTCCAATGTTCTGGTCTAACTCATTTTTCTGGATGACCAGCCCCAGTCCCTTCGGCACCTGCCAAGGATGCCGAAGTTGGGTTAGAACCATTTTGGAGCTGCACCCACATAAAATCACAGTTCATCTACCACAAAGCACGTGTGTTTCTTGGGAAAACGGGCTGACAGTGTGACTGCAAGCAGAAATACTAGCTTGCCTCTTCTGTTTCTGCTTCCTACTCTCACCTGCTTGGAAAGCTCACAACTTACCATTCACAAAATCTACCCACATTCAGTGATGTTGCTTGGGAGATACTGTCCCCATTAGTAGCTAGGCCATGAGCCTGTTTACCTCCCTTTACATGCCTGTGATAAGAGAAAGCATATTTTTAAGGCACCATGCCTAGCACAGACTCCAGCACTTCAAGGTTGAGGCTAGAGTACTTGGAAATACTTTCTGAGAAACTACTGCAGCAGGGTGCATGGGAGTTGTAGGGTTGCTATTTCTAGTTTCCACTACAGGAGGTGACACAGGGAGGGTGGCAGCGTGGATGGAGAGATATTTTTTTTTACCAGGGCCAGTAGTGGTAGGACAAAGGGTAAAGCTTTTAAACTTTAAAGGAGGGTACCATTCAGATTAGATACAAGGAAGAAATTCTTTGCTATGAGGGTGGTGAGACACTGGAACAGGTTTGCCAGAGAAGTTGTGGATGCCCCATCCCTGGAATTGTTCAAGGTCAGGTAGGACAGGGCTTTGAGCAACCTGATCTAGTAGAAGATGTACCTGCCCATGGCAGGGGGAGTAAAACTAGATGATCTTTAATGGTCCCTTCCAACTCAAACCATTCTATGGATGTCTTTCTGTCTGCAGAAGACTTCCAGGTTCAGTTGTAAGGCATGTCCATAGAGAACACAAAGTCCTAAGAAAGCTGTGACCAAAGATTTACTTTCCTTTTTAATGTTGAGTAGACCTATGCTCCCAAATTCCAGAAAATCCAGCATTACTGGCACTCCTACATGATCCAGATCTATTTAACCACATTTTAAATACGCCCAAGCACTCTTCTCCACTATCTGCCAAGACTTGTTATGATATGTGGATCTCCCTGTCTGCTATGCAGAAGTAGGAAAGATCCATTTCATATCTAATCCAAAAATCCTCCAGGGAGCAGTCTGCTCTTCTCTGCTCCAAGTTTCAACATGGAAACAGATGTTACCTATTGCATCTAGTTTTGAAACACCAGAAGCACAACAGGGACTTGGGTCCCTTCTGTAGCAAGGAGTCTAGCTGCGGGAGCATGACGAAACCTTCAAAATCAAGAAAGCATAGGCAGACCGTACAAAGTTCTGCTTTGCTTTTCCCACTTTTGCCAAGTGATGTTTTGTCATGGCATTTGACTACTTACACACACAGAGCTACAGTCCCATACACCCCCCCACCCTCAAAGCCATAGATCATAACACCACTAGCTCCACATAGTGGAAAGGAAACATTCATGTAAGAGTTTCCTCATTTATCCTGACATGTTAAAGGTTTAAGAGACTCTGCTGAACCTTGGAAGGCAACACAGCCCAGGCAGAGCAGAAGAGGTTGTGTGCTCACTTCCCCCCAGCTTCCCTGTCTCCACCTAGCAGCACACAGGCCTCCTGCTAGCCCTGCTAGAAAGAAGCAGTTTTGGATAGCTAGGCCTGGTCCCTCTACTCAAGGCAATTCGAGGCAAGTCTTTTAAGTACTGGAAAGGTGTTCTTGTCCTAAAAATGAAATCTAGTGCTTAGCCTACCAACTACTAAGTATTTTAAACCAAACACCAGAACACACGTCATAAATCTGACGGAAGTTTTCCTATCAAACAGTGTTTATCACCTAAAACTCAATGGTGTTTTGTTTCCATTAAGATTTTTGCCCCAATCTTAAAAATAAAATCCAACTTAATCATAAACAAGGAAAGTGCATATCTCATTTACATTATGCATACCAAAGAAGTTAGAGATTTGCGGTTCACATTCTGGTTCGTGCCAATTTTAAAAACTTAGATAAATTCAGTTCATGATGACTTTGCTTGTTCACTTAGCTCTTAATTAACTTGTCTGTTGGTATGCAGGAAAGTTTGCCTTGGCACCTTTTGAAACCCTGAATGTTTCTGTTCAAATCTATTGTTCTGTGCATGTTTCCCTGGGCCAAGCTATGGTTTATTTTAGGGGAAACTGATTTGCTTTATAATAGGTATTTCTGTGAAACTCCAGAACCCGCAAGTTGTATGAACAATCTAAAATACTCAGCAAGACCAGGTTTCTTTACAACTTCTCTCCGCTCCCAAAAATTCTGTATTCACATTTCATTTCTTTCAGCATGTAAGACTCAATCACTGACCCATGCATTTTACACTTCTCCAGGGCTTCAGTGCTTTAGCATAATCAATACTTCAAGTAGATCTCCATTATAGAGCACTGATAAACTGCAGTCCTTTGCCACTACAAGATGATAACCTTCTTCAAAATATCCCAGTATTTTCTCCACTGTAATTCCAGAGGTTTCTCCAATTATTGACCGGGCCTGCCAAAGATGGGGCAAATCTACAGAGACAGCTGTACAACACAGAATCACAAAGGACCAGTAGCTGGTCTGGATTGAAATACCATCATGGGACCATGTAGCTTCCCTAACATACTATGCTGAGCCAAGTTACAGTCTCATTAGAGTACAACAGCTCCCTGAGGCACCTCGCCTCCTCTTTTCAAGTTCCTATTTTGGGACTTGCTTGATGTCTCCTAACAGCGCTATCCCTTAGTGTCCCCAGATCCTGCACATGGAGGAAGCTTCCTGGGGGCTGCGAGATCTTATTTTATTGGGGCACTCTCCTGCTCTTGCCCTGCTTCTGGACAAAGGGATGCTGTCCTGCGCACCAAAGGTGATGGTTAAGGAACAGCAAGCAGGGGTCTGGGTTGGTGTAGTATTCACTCAAAACTCTTTAGACTCCTGAAGTCATAGACTGGATTATTTAACAGAATTCTCTTTTTTCCAGCTCAGTTATTTGTAAAATTTGAGTGTGTAAGGCAGACTGTTGAATGGGTGCATTCAAAACCTAGAGGATTGTTCTCTTGTATTAACAGCAAATTATACAAATAGATTACATAAGAAATCAACTCTGTAACATTATTATGAATCCTGGCAGAAACATTTGTGAGCATAATATCCAGAAGTCCAGCATCTGGTTTGGCTACACAGCTGGCCTCAGGCCTATGTTTTTAGAATATAATTTCTATTGAGCACCCAATATTCCCCATTACCATCTCCCTTCACTTTTTCCTAGTATCTCTTCTGAATGGGGGACTTTTACATCTCTTTTCAGTAAGGAGGAGTTTGAGAGTTAGAATGACCAAAATTGTATGAGAAATGGAGAGTGGCATGCCGGTATTCTTTGCTTGCTGCTCACTGCAAGCCAAGAATTTTAGAGAGGACCTAACTTTTTCAGCAAGCCTAGTGGGAAGTATCAGGAGCTTTACTGAGCAGATTGCTCTAAATACAGCCCAGCTACATTAGTATCCTTATTTATCTACACATATGACAGCTCTGGAACTTTCTTTTTCTGGTGTTGCTTAGGTTTTTGTCTGTATCGTTCTTTTTTCTCTCCTATAAACTCACTACAGTCACTAGATGGCATCCTAGTTCTGCCACGCTGGTGCTGCGCTGGAAGGAGAAGATGGACAAATCAGAGTTACAGAGAACACAAAAACCTAGATCCCGATTCAGCTGGCAGACTTGAGCTCCATTTCTGTTTGCTCCAGTGAGGTTTAAGAACATAAGACTAAAGGCACTTCTAAAATGCTGCTATCAGTACAGAGAGAAACCTCCAAGGAGATATCATGGACAGGACTGAGCAGTTTTAAGACTGTTTTTTGAACTTGGACACAGACTGGCCTGCCTGAATTACCCTTGATACAGGAGAATGAAAACTTAATAACACTACTTCAGAGTTTCATCAAGATTAGCATTAGCACCTCTGCTAACACAGAGCAAAACCAGGGTGTGCCCTTTGCAGCACAGTGGAGTGAGTTGAATCAGATATGTTAACTTGTGAAATCATCACTGGGGATGAAAGGGAAAGCCTAATACTAAATTCTGAAATAAAGAATCTGGTTCACAGAAAAAAAAAGTGCTGAGTTCAATTCTGTTTGGGAAGACAAGAAACTTTATGCTTCTACTGTTAAGAAAGCTTATGAATAGGGCTGATCATATGCCTATGGTAACCAATTTCTTTCTTACAGACTTCTCAAACTGCAGTTTTATTATATCAGTTTTTGGCTATACTGCACTTTTCCCAGTGTGTTTTTCTTGCCTTTCAAGAATGGAGAAGGCAGATGCCAGAAAGCAAACTCCTAATACTTTGAAGGACCAAAAAAAAAAAAAAACCAAACCAAAAATCTTTACCCAGTTGATAGAGATTTTCAACAGTCCACACCAGTAACGATACTTCATGTCAACTCTGGAGATTCATTGTTGTGTATTAGTGCAGCATCCCTTAACTTTGGAGGTAATAAGCTCTATTTCCTAACCTTGCTTCTACTGATCTTGAGGTTATAGTCTTCCTAACGATTTTGCTACAGGCAGGACTAGAAGTTCCTTCTTCAACCCTGTCCCCCAAGGTTTCCAGCCAAACTCCTCAGGGCACTCCTGTCAGAAGTCAAGATGAAGACAGAGAAATAAATGCTTATATATTAAGTTAGTCCGTGCAACACTTCTTCCCCCCAAAAAAACCAACCACCAAAACCAACCAAACAAAAAACAAACCCACAACCCAAAAAACCCACCCAGTAGCTCAGAGCTGATAAGGCCATAGGCATTGGCTGGAAGAAACACAAGTGGCAGAACATGCCACTTACAATTCAGGAGGCACACATGTAGCTACTGCCACTCTTCTCCTCTAGCGCTAATTTGAGAGAAGGATCCCAGGAAACAGTTCTGGCTTCCTGGACACTGCAGCACACTGACATCATGTAATTGAATTGCAATGCTTTATTGATCAGATCCACACATTTGGAAGGGTGCGGATGGACGCAGTATACATAGACAAGACCAGCACAATATCTGCAAGAGGCAAACCAGAAGATGATGGTTTTAATGCAAGGCTTGATCACTAGAGCTGCTGCCAGACTCCTGTGACTTCATAACATCAGGTAACTCTGGGGTGCTTGAGAAAGGGTCAATACGCAATGGTTCAAAGGTGCCATTGCCATGTCTGAATAAAGCCAAGCCCACTGTGGCGGGTAAATGAGGACGGCAGCTTTGGCTGCTTAAGCCACAGTCTAGCAAAGTCCTATCATCATCATCCAGCAGCTGGTCATCTTTGTAGAGCCGTTGCTCCTCTGGTGGCCTCTTCAGTATTCCCTCCACCACCTTTTTCAATTCATGCACAGTTGTTGTCTCTTTGGCCTCAGTGAAGATTGTTGTCTTGTGGCGGCGAATCATTAAGTAGACATCCATCACTACCCTAGGGCTTCCTGCAGTCCTCTGTCACTGGGAAACAGATTTCAGTCCTCTTAGTGAGAAATCTGTATTTTCAAGAGTAGCTGAAATCAAGACAGAACTGTCATTAGATGAATGGATCCAGTGCGGACAAGGAGAAAAAAAGGAAAAAATACTTGCAGGGAGCCGCTCTGCTAGACAAAGATCCTCATGCTCTACACAAGCAAAGCTATTAAGTACTTAATGACTTTTGTCATCTAGCAGAGACCTTTTAACACTGTTAATGAGCACTTATGTTACTTCAGCTTCTTGCCTGAAAGGATTTCATCCCCAGTTTGCTTTGGGCCACATACATCTATCCAAGCACCCAGGAGAAGCCAAGCATGCAACTCTGCACTCAGCACCAGAAGGATGGAGCACAGGAGAATGCAGCACACAAAGTGTTTGGGCTTTGTTGGTTTCTAGTCAGGCAAGAGACAAGAACTTCCCCGACTTCTTCACATGTTCAATAAAGACAGGAAAGTTGATAAATACAAAAAAGTGCTGAGAGTTGTCAAACTATTGGACAGTGTTAAAATATTTTAGCCTCCTACTCCAGTTTCAGGAAATTAGTTGTCAAAATAGCTCATTGCCTAGCACCAATGCTGATAACAGACACAGCTTAGGAGTAACTCTTCTTCCTCAGAGTTTTGCTAGGGTGAAGAGACTCACACAGGAGCAGAGCGGGAGGGGAAATTAGGGCTGGCAGTATTAGTTTAAAAGGGAGGTCTTCAAAGCCCAGCCATTTTAGGGGTACTTTATGGTAGTGCCAGTATAGTTGATTGTCACACACACAAAAAAGTCACACCTAAGAGGCTAAAGGCTCACTTCAGCTCTGAAATGCTCCAGAGAGTCAAGGACATCTTACTAGAGCTGCCATTACCGGTTCTCACAGAGAAGTTCAGGACCAGCATGGGGCTGGCTCCATCTACCCCAACAGACACCAAGCCACATTACCAGCCCTCTGGAAGAATAGCTGCTCTTCAGGGATTTGGGCTGCTCTTGTCTTTGGGATAAGAGGGGCAAGGTCTAGAGGTTCATGAGCGTCCCCCACCCCCCAGCTGGAACCCTCTTGACAGGTAAACCAAGGCACACCACTGGATGAAGGAAAGCAGTGGCCAGCACGCACTGCTGAAAGGAGGCAGAGCTCTCACTCACTAGGTCAGAGAGAGGAGAAAAAAAATACTTAACCTTGTTTTTCTCTGCCATCTGCACTTTGATATCACTGGCAAATCCAAGATTTCCATGACAAACCTAGGTTAGAGTTAATCCCTTGTATGGTCATTCAAGCTAGATTACAAAGATAGTAACAGATGCAATAACACTGTTTGTTGTTGGGTTGGTTTTTTTTTTTTTTTCCTTCTTTTTCCAAGTCTACCAGGAAGACAGACACTGCTATTCCAGACCGGCAGACCCCGGTTCATCCATCCCTGAGCAGTGACCCAGGGGCACTGGCATCTAGGTATGGCCGTTAACTGTCTCTTCATGTCATGCCAGTTCAGACATGCATATGTGCTTGCTCCATCTGGAGTTCCCTGTGCTTTGCTGTATGTTCTCCAGGAGAAGGGAAGAAAGGAGCAGAGATATGTCACAAGTGCAGCATAGCCAAAAAAAAAAAAAAAAAGCCAAGAGGGAACTGCTCTGGACTCAGACTCGGGCTTTAAGGAAGGGCTATTTCCAGCTGAAGGCAAGTGGAACCCTAGGATCTAAATAAATTTGTGGATTGAGACAAAATCTACCACCTCTACAATCCTAGTACCGAAGGAAAGAAAAAGCAACATTTACCTCTCTTCAAGGTAGTGAAAGTGTTACACTGCATTTGTGTTATGTCATTTTACTGAACAGCTTGAAGAAAAGTCAGACCTTCTGCATGAGAAGCAGTTAGAGAATTGAATTTTTGCTTTAAAAGGAGCGTGTTCAGAGACACAGCCAAGCTGGAGAAAGGGGAGCATGCACATAGGCTAAACAATTTGAAGTAGCTCAAGTTTAAAATAAACAAACCCCCGCATATACAAAAGACCCAACTGCCATCTGCCCCAGACCAGTGGGGAAGAATAGGAGAGTTAATAGAGAAATATATTTTTAAAATTTATATTAGGGATAGGATGTGGGCAGGGTGCATTTGCGTAACCTAAAAGCATAAGGAAGTCAATCTTGAATCCTTCCTGCAGAAGGAAGACAGTACTATCCACCACAAGTAATGGCCACATAGATGATGATGCACTTCTGATAAGTAGCAAACTACTTCTCACTGACAAGGGCCAGGTCACAGGTGGTGCTTTTGGGAGAAATATCAAATTTCATTAAGTCTATTTGATTTCCCAAGAATTGCACACGGATGAACACAGCTAAGGGTCCTACCTAAAAGCTCACTTCCATGAGTGAGGCAATCAATTGTCAGATCCAGAAGGAACATCAGTTTCCCTTCCTAGCTTTTCTTTAAAAAGGAGATAAACGTGAACCATTTGAAGTCAGGTCAGATATATTTACGTGCTTTAATCCAGTTTTGAAGCCCACCATAGTGTTTAATAATTAAGCAGTATATTGATGTAGTTTTGAATCAGGAAACACAAGGTGAAGCAACAGACAAACAACAGACATGTCTAAAGCCACTAAAGGCTACTGAAAAGATGTTTTCAGTGTGAGCAAGTTTTAATCAAATTATGGAGTTGATACCCTAGTCAGAGACTTGTTGACCTGGAGTCACCATCCAGGCACCCCTCTGGTTCAAGGAAGGGCCACAGTCCAGACCCTCCAACTCCAGGCATCTCCTCAGAAAAATCAAAATCCTTTTAATTGGCAAAAGCTTCCCAGGGCAGAATTGGCTCTTTAACTTGGCACAGAGTCACTATTTTAGTAAAGCTGCTACATTATTTGACCCGTTTAGTTTGGCAGCTTCCCTGACAGACACACGAGCTAGATAAACAGGGAAAGGCAGTGCTAGATGTTCCTCTCATCGCTTCACAGACCCGAAGCTGAGAGACCCATACATTAACTGCTGCCACACCCCCACAGCCAGTGAAGGAAGTTGTTTTACTTAAGTCAGTATGTCTAAAGCTGGGCTGCAAACCCTTCCAGCACAACAGAGTCCAAGGGAGAAGGTATAGAGGGAAAGCAGCAGGCTGCCATAATCTACATGTCTTAGAGGTAATCAGCCTTCTTACCTGTCACAGCCATCAACTAGGCAAGCTAGGCTAGGACAACTTAACCCTTCCTTAACAGGGGAATCCCCAGAGGACACTTGCTTAACACTCCAGCCCCAGAATGTAACTTTATTTACATCTGCACAACAGAGACTCCTATCTACTCCTTTGTTACCCATTTGACCTGGAAAACCTCATTTGTATTGAGAGGAAAGGTCCAAGCAGGTCAGCAGGAGACAGGTTCAGCCTTTGCACTGATACAGATCCCATAGGCAACTCAATATTACAGGTTTTCATAAGCATTTGGTTTCTTCATTCTCAAGTCTGCAATCCAAAATACTTTAAGTTGCTTTTTTTTAAAAAAAAGCACAACAAAAAAAATCCCCCAAACCCACCCACACATGCAGCATGCCTTAATATATTCCTCAAGTTAAGGAGATAGAACTACCAGGCATTTCTGGCAGCAATAGTCTTGATCGAACTACACTTCAGTTTCCTATTTTATACGTATATTTTATACGTTTTTCTACTTGAAAAACAGCAAGAATTATAAAAACGTTAATATAGTTGTTTCTGTCCAAGGAAGAAAGGATGATTAATTAAGTAAATTAATCACCTTAAGTAAGAGAATAATTTAAAATCCACCTTGACCTTCAGGTCAGAAATTACTTGTTACATTTCCTTGCAGCTATACTCTAGCTAGAGGTACTATACACTATTACACTTGCCTCTCCTCTAACAGTACAAGATTTCTCAAGAATTACAGCAAGGACAGGCCAGAAATGGGTCTAGCCTCTAGTTACACGAGACCCTAATCAAATAGCTTCAATTAAAATAAAAACAAATTCATATCATATACTTAAAGGCTTAGTAGTATAAAAAATATGTTGTATTTTAATGTTATTGCTTCTCATAGTTAACAAAGTCATTTTGAGCAAGTTATTGCCTTCAGATAGAAGTTCATTCATTTAAGGATTAGCAGAGGATAAATTTTTTCTCAAGGCACTTCATTAGATACCACAACTGTTTCCTGCAGCAGAACCACACACAGAGAGCATAAACTACCAAAATCACAAAGTTCACACAACACTTGATGGCTGCACTGCAAAGTTAAAACCAAACTACAATAGAAGCTCTAAAGCTTCTCACTAAGTACACACAAACAAATAAACAAAAGGAACTTACATAAATCAAATCATTCTTCACAACTGCCCCTGTACTCCGGATTCCTCAAGAGACCACACTTATTCTGCCACTGGCCCTTTTATCCCGAAACCACTTCTAGTACAGCTTTGCTTCCTCTAGCTATTTGTCAATCAGTGGAAGCTAACAAGTTCAGCCATACCGATCAAGGTGTCTAATTAAACCCAGGTGTGCTGAAAGAGCCACGCTAATGGAATTAATGCAACTCATTATGCTGGGAATCCTCTGGTAACTTTTAAAACTTGTTATGCCTGTGCTCCAATTCAGTTAAGCATTGGATCCCTACAGCCCCTGATGCAGCCACAAGGATCTGTGCTAGTTTTCCTGGCTGGTTTTTAGATGCAGCCTCATACACTGTGTGCGCAACAGTCTAATTGCACAAAGACCTGGACACCTACCAACAAGATGTATATTGAAAGAAATGTCCTCATTTTAATGTTGCAGAAACAACACTGCTTTTGCTGTCTGATTCCAGCTGTGTTAGAGGCGGGCATGCACATGGTAAAAGAAAACCATAACTTTTGCTTGCTTTGCCCCCCCCAATCCTTAGCATCACTGTTGTTGCTGTCAGGCAGACAGCCATGAGTGACAATCATCCTGAGTGTTACGTTCCCTTCTGGACTAAGACAATGCACAGCTCACCTTACTTTTGCTGCCAAAAAGGTGCTACCTGGTCATGGTGATCTGCCTCTATCCCCTAGGCCTGGCTTTGCTTCAGCAGCTGAGAGATCAAAACTACAGCTAGTCCCTTCAGGTCCCTACATATGGACAAAATAACGTGTCTCATATAAAATAACTGAAATTATAATAAATCAGTCTGAGAACAGTGGACTCTCCACACCACTGCACTGTATGAATGGCCTGTTCCACACCTGGGGGCGATCTCCTTATAGCAGGTCAGCAGAACAATAGTGCCCTGCTGCCTTGCTTAGCATGTGCCCTTTCCCCGCTGTTCCTTGGTGGCCTGCCAGTTCTGGAGGCATAACATTCTGGGGGTCAGCCTCTTCCACCAGCACCAATGCTGATGTGGAGTAACTGGTGTATCTACTGCAGTTTTTTCAGATTTACACCAGCACAATGGAGATCAAGATGCCAATGTACGTCAGTGCACAAAACAAGCCTTTGCAAGACTTTTTGAGGTGCCACCTTCTGATCGATGATCGGAACAGGTTAGAGTGTCCATTGGCACCTGGGGTGCTCACATTTACATCACCTCCCTTTGCACTGACCATTGTTTCCTCACTGTATATAAATACACGCTGCTCCTCATTATGAAATGTGAGCAGCCCATGCAAGTATGGTAAGTTAGCACCTTATATTATCTCTCTGTGTATGTGTGTATCTACGCTGGAAGTGTTTTTTAATCTGAGTGTATTGGGAGTAGTAGGACTCATCCTTAATTCTGTGCAAGTTAGTCTGCTAGACCTTTGAAAAAAAAAAACCCCTAATTTTAAAGAAATCTTCTTGCTGCTTTTCTAGAAATTCTTGCTGGCCTTTTGCTTGATCCTTCTCTTCTCAAGGACTCTGTGTGATGCTCGCTGTTACCTTAGACCAGCCAGCAAGTATGGTAAGAATGGCAAATATATAGACATCCCTGAAGCATTAATTCAGAGATTCACAGCCTTATTTTCTTGGAAATGTTGAAATACTATAACATATTCTTTGTTGAGGAATGATCCAAGCTGCATACTCAGGAGTCAACCCACCTGGAGGCATCTCCAGACACAAAGGGAGAGATGCTATCCTGTTCAATAGTTATTCTCTGGGCTGATGCATAGCTGAAGTCCTTGCCCATGTGTCAAAAAACATGTACTTTTAAGCAGCATTGACTAACCTGAATGGGGTACCTGACAATAAAATCAAAGCAAAGACAACACAACTGGTGTTTAAATTCAGTTTAGCAGAGCAAGTTGAAGTCTAATACGAACTGGGGAAAAGGGAGGAGGGAGAAATTAAAGTCTAGATCTGTATGTTGGATATGAGAAAGGGCAGAAAGATCCTACTGTAGCCGTAAGCTAAGGCATTTCTCAGATCCATTGCAATAGCAGAATAGAAATTCTCTGGTATGTGGTTGCTACCACTTTATCATGATTTATCATACACTCACACACACTTCAGGAGCAGAGACATGGTATCCTTTCTGCAGAGCACTGGGTCAGATTCTTCCCTGGTGTGACTCAATCGAAATCAGTACTTTGATTGCCAGTCCACAAACATAACACTGTGGTCTTTGTCTATTGATAGATGTTCATACTGATCTACTATCATTTTCTGGTGTGTGCCTGCAGGGTGCCTTTCAAGCAGAAACCTCTATGTTTTTGGTGCAGTGTGGAAGACTGAAGATTGTTACCAATGCAGGTGTAAGATGAATGCAATGATTTGCTGCAGCTTGTAAGTTCCCCCAAATTACTGTTTGGTTATTCAGGAACTGGCTGAAATTTTCAGACTTACGAAAACTCATTGAAAGTGTGCATTGGAGTTTCATACTCACATGAGCAAAATTCCTCTTCCCGTTTCACAGTTAGCTCTAATCGGGACCAAGCGGAATAATCTGGCAATCACATAGACTTTGGGAAGAAACAAAAAGAAACACAGCTAGCGTCTTTCAAGCACACAGCTCTTCCTCATCACCTAGTTGTTCTTTTGATTCTGATACTAACTGACCATATGACTCCCTTTAACCTCAGTTTTGTGGCCCGCCTGTGAACATCTAATCAGGCCAGAGCTGCTCCACACCCTTCCCATGCTGCCAAGAGTCCACCCTTCCTGCTTATCAAAATAAGACACATATGCCCTGCTCTGATAATTTGCTTTCTAAATCTTGTCATGTGTTCCTGCCTCATGGATGGCAGGTGACACATCAAGGAGAGCTGTATCTTCCTGAGTATAACGGTGTGAACTGATTATCTCCCCAGAAGGCTGGGAAATTTCTTCTTGAGGTGAGGAAGGATACAATTAAAGGAACTCTTGAGGGGAATATTCCTGGCTGTCCTCAACTATAGGAGTGAGGGAGTTGGCCTGTGTTGAGAAGAGGCTCAGCTAGGAGGTATTCATGTTGGGGTGATTCAGCACTCTTTAAATGGTTCTTTCATGTCAAGAAAGTCTTAGTTTAAATGGGGAAGACAGAATTAATCCCCATTTTGTCTCTGTGTGGGAATTTATACCAATCTCTAACAGAATGGCCGGTGAGAACTGCATTTAAACCAGAACAAACATTGGGAAATCACATAATCTGTTAACAGCCATGATTGGGGCTCTGTGTTCCTCCTGTGATAATCCACAGTGCTTGTATTAATGGAACCCATGAGCCAGATTGATCCATGATGTAGCTTGCTCCAGGATGGCTGTGACTTGAGTAAGCATCTTTATCTCAGCCCCCATCTTCGCTACTGATTTTCTCTTTGCCTTTTTCAATGACAGGGTTTTAATCCCCAAGAACTATGACAAGGTGAACTGTGTTGGCCTGTTCCACAAGAAAAGCTGTTCCATCCGAGTGGTGAAGAAGACAAATCCTGATATAAGCTGCAAAGTCTACAATGGAGCTGGTTAAGACTATGTGATGTGTTTCTCCTCTTCTGCCCTAGAAGTTGAACATGCTCTTCACCTCTCCTTCAGAGGAAGCAGCAAAACAGCATGGTTTCAGGAGGAATGGGTTTACCTCACGCCTTTCACAGTTCTAATCATGCCACATCTGTCTCATTTCTGACACTAGATGGTTTGTCCTAAAGCATACACATTTATAACCAAGCTTTACCACAGATAACTTTGTGACTTTCTTCCTGTTGGGATCCAGATTTAAATAAATTTTCACATACATCAAATCTCTGCTTTTCCTTCTGAGTAGTCACTGATTGGTCTTGTTGAAAACAGAAGAATTCATGGTGTTTGTAAATCTAATTATTGATTTAGAAACCATCTAGCTTTTAGAGTAACAGGTATTATATAAATTGTTGCCAGACAAACGGATTCATTATGCTATTAGGTTCATTGACATTCCCCCAAGGATGTGTATACTAGAAGAACGGGATGAAACAAAGCAGAAAGCCCTTTGAAAGCCTCCTCCCCACCCTGGTGCCTTGTGTAGGTCAATATATTAGTCCAGATGCATAAGGGAACATATTCTCCAGGAGATGACTGGTATATTACAAAAAAAGAAAGCTCATGCCTGAGAGTTCAACCTACTGCAAAGAAATGCCATATAAATAGCTCTGTAGCCTTCCATACCAGGGTAGAATTTCCTGCAATAATCTTGTTTGGATCAAAGTCCACTGACACACAACCCCATGAAAGCTGTTTGTACAGAAAACCTAGATTATAAAGCATGTTTAGTCAGTAGACTTCAGGCAGTACACTGTGCCTGGTACGAAGTCCATGAAAGTTGTTTATATGAGAAATATCCTATAAAACATATTTATACAATATTAAGAGCAATTATAACAAGAGCACTGTACAGCTTAAAAGGCCCTGATAAATCATTTGAGTGTGTTTATTTAACACCGACATCATAGGTGTTTTCTTCATCTGCCTTTCCTCTACCTTGCTGAAGTATATTATAATAAAATATTTCAACTGATGGAAACAACTTTTTAATATCTGTTGTGGAAAACCACAGTCACATGCTCTATTTTCAAGTGCAGTGCTGAGAGTATATGAGTAGAAAACCTGCACATACTAAGGAAAACAGCTTACCAATGGCTAGAAGAAAACCCATCTATGGCTCCAGGTACTACCAGAAAGTCATTAAGGCGATTCCAGGAAGCAGTTAAAATGAGAAATGTAATTGTAGCTTCTTAAATATTTGGCCCTCAGGATTAGCTAGAACTGCTCAGTAGCAGCTCCCTTTGATGATATGTCCCTGTACCTTCTTGGGAGTCATGGACTGGACATCACTGGAGCTGGCTGTGACCCTGCCAGCCTGCAAGTAGCAGACACTGGAGGGGCGCTCACTTCTCTACTTGCCGAAGGTAGAAAAGAGGATTTCACCCATATATATATATATAAAAAAAAAAGGGACCATGCTATCAGCTTCCTATATACTAGATGCATTTATAAGGGTCTGCCTAGGGGGCCAGGAGTGACAGAGCTTTCCTGAAGGCTTGAACATCATTTAAGCAGTTCAGAAAAAAACGTGGGAACATACATCGGTTTCACTAGCTCCACCCCCGATGGAAGAAGGGGTATGAACAAACTGGTGAATGGTTAAAATATCAGTTCTGCTTCAGAGAGTGGTAGAGAATCTGACAAAACAAAGCCAAACCAAACTTGTGCAAAATACCTGCAAGGATACCATGTAGACCTGCTAAGCTTAGCATACACATGGACTATGTACTGTTCCATGCCACATTTTCTCTATATGCTTTCATCATTGAGTACCTAGTACTATTCTTTGTGGATACTGCTCACTGTTTTACAGAACCAGAGAGAGCAGGGCTCCAGATGCTGGACCACAATTAGATTTGCTAAATGTACTGCAGGAGAATTGGCCTCTGAAATTCCATGCTCAGAGGAAAGAAAGAGACAGAGCTTCAGGTCTCCATCAATGAAGGCTGATATGGCTGAAGATCTGACACAAGGCCATTGCAGGAGACCCTCAAAGCATTCAGAATGCAGTTGTAATCCCACTGCTGTGACAATCCTGTCATTCCCAGGGAAATGCTTAATTGCACCCAATGAAAATTTCTCAGGAGACGCCTTGCTGTCATCATAACCACTTACAGAAAGGAGTTTGGCCAGTGCAGAGAGGACTGTTTCCCCATGCATCTGTACCCCCTTGAAACAGGTTGTCTCCATAGAGCCCAACTGTCTTACGTAATAAACTGCAGAGAAAACAGGACAGTTCCCCAGTGCCCTCCTGGAACAGGAGTACGTGCTGTGGACAGAGAATGGAAGCAAGCCGCCTTACTGCTCTGTGGGTAGCAGGACTCCCCATGCTATGCCAGCTACAGTTTCTTTACTCCATTCCCAATAAACAGCAAACAGGGACTGGTCCATTGGTTGCTAGAGTCAATGCAAACCTACTGATATGAACAGAAACAGCCGGTCTGACCAGCACATGATTAGCAGTAGCTGGGACTACGGTATATCCATGTTGCCTCATGGCAGCAAGTGTCCTGTGTATAGAGGAATTTCCACCCTTATGCACCCTCATACAAGTACTGCTTGTGCATTTTGCAAATAGGTCGGGATCCTCACAGGGAGTCTCCACAGATACATGTTCAGTAGTGCCCATTGTATACTGAAATTAAACGTGGCCAGATTCAAACCAGTCAGTTCAGGTACCAGCATCCCTTTCAGCAAGGTGCTGAACCAAGCCTACAAGACCCACCTGGATGAGTAAACAGGCATCTGCATCTTTGTCTTTCTGCTGCTGTTCTCACTCCAAGCTAGCTCCAGTATTGTCCCCTCTATGCTACAGTCTGGACAGCTACTGCGTGGCAGCTCCAGCCCCACCACATCTCTTGGCTTGAACTCAGTGGCTGCTGTGTGGATGTAAGTCCCAGCTACATGAACCAGTGTAGAGTTGGAATGACCCAAGTGCTGCTCCCAGATTACCTTGTTAATAGTGAACATTTTCACTCTGCAGTTTGGACACAATGAGGAAGTAATACACATGTAATAGCACTCTAATGCAGCCCCATCGACCTCAACAAGAAATGGCCAGAACCTTGATACAGCAGTTCATCCTAAAAATCTGTCAAGAAGAAAGTCCCAGATACCATAGCAAAATATTGGTGGTTAGGTCATTTCCTGATCCCTGGGCGGCAGAGCCCCAAGCAGTCTTTCAGGAACAGCGCTGCAGCTGTTCTTTGTTGACTTTAAGAAGAGAGCAGATGCTAATTTGCTAGTTTGCAGGCTCTGCCCAAAGGTCTGAATTGAGAGAATAAAGTGACACAGCATATCTTTAACTGTTTGGAAGGTGTGGAGATAAGGCTGGCTGAGGAACGCTGCAAGCTGAGGGAGATGAGAACAACAGCTTCACAAATCAAAATATTCTGCAGTAAAAGGACACTCTGTTTCCTAGTAGTTTTCCTCCTCTTTCTTTAATGCTTTGAACAGCAGAAAGAATAAACATATGATAAGTAAATTAAGGAAGAAACAGAAGTGAACAGGCCAGCTAAATAAATCATTTCAGCTTTTCTGGCTCCAGTAAGATAGGAAGCTTTTACTTCCTAAGGAGCTGGCAAGACTCTCAAGATCTGTGTGGGCTGATGCCTTCTCAGCTGGAGCACAGACTTCATGCCCCTTTCCCTAACCGGATCAGAAAGGTTGTCTCCTTCTGAGGCATCTGGGTAAAAGGCATAATGCTGGGATATGGGGTGCTGGTTCAAACCAGCTGGTAAATAAAAGTCCTGAAAAGGAGGCTGGGAAAAATAAGAAATACAAAATAAGAAGCAACTCAGGGATGCCCTGAAGAAAGAACCAGTAACTACAGACAACTCTCCGGCTTACACCATTCATTACACAGATTCCAGTTTTATGAGCATCATAAGAAACGAGAAATGCCAAAATACCTTAGAAAGACTTTAAATATTCCTGCTTCTGCTTTGATTATTCCTCTAATGATGAAAGATGTCAGCTAAGCACTTGAAGTAGATGGGCACATGTGTAATAGCTGGTATCAGAAAAAATGAAAGAAAGAATACAGTACAAATGAAAAACTATTTTCATAGTTAGTTTAGTTGATACGAGCTTGCACTTGTTTTGATATTGAAGTATTTGATTTCTCTTGACATACTACGTGCCTACAAATGAAAAAATCCACTTTAAGTAAAGACCAATATTAGGTTATTCTGATACAGCCCTTGGAAATACACTGTTTGTGTATTTTCCCAATGCAAGAGAAAAATTTGCAAATCTGATTTCTGCCTTGCTTTTTCATGAGAAAGACCTGGGAAAAAAATCAATGAAAACTTGCACTTCTGCAAATCCTTCTTTTCCTCTATTTCCAACTTCCTCAGTGCTCTTACATTTCCGAGTTCTTTGCCTGAGTAACAGTGTACCTCTTCCCCTTTCACAATTTAAGGACTTGCAGTCTGGATCCTTCTAAAATAAAATTTCAATATTGGTCTGTGGTAGAACAGAAAAATTACTGGCAAAATTTTTGTATGTATGAGGCAAAATTCTCTTTGAGCCCTACAGAAAACTTGCATCAGCAAGGAGAACAGGATTAGGCTCTGTTCCTGTATTTTGTCCCTTTGCTTCAGCATGCTTCCACTTGAGTACACACTTGCATGCAGCATGGATGCATGCTCTGCTTCATATAGCTTCATAGCACTTTCTTGACATTGCTATTCCTCTCAAGTACTTGTAAAATTTCTATATTTATATAACAGCAGAGGGAGCCAGAACTTCGAAGTCAGACAATAACCATAACCATAAAGCAGAATTCATTGGCTAATCTGAAGGGAGGGAAGGAAGGAGGGGG